TCAGAGTCTAGGGGGTTTGTCCTCAAAATAACCCCTATCAGGGTTATTTTATTTACTGTTTAATTTCATTCAGTTCATCTTAAACTATACCCTACCATTTTTATCATCTCAAATGATTTTTTTGTTTTACAAAGGAATAAGTAACTCGATGAGTGAATAAATAGCTAAAACATGTCAGTTTTTCCAGGTTTTAGGGACTCCATCCCATTTACAAATTTTTGTTAATACATGTTATCCACTTTTAAAATTTTCTTAAGTCACATCATTTTATATAGAAAATGTGTTGTATGCCCCATTATTTTTGCCAAAACCTTAATTTTTAACATTTTGAGGTCAGATTCAAAACAAAATATTGTAAAAGAGATACAATTTTTAAATCATAATTATAAGCAAATTGGGAGAACACAAATTTTCCACCTGGGGATAAAATATAGGTAATTCATTTTCTATCTGTTCATTTCCAGTCCACTAATAAATTGTTGCCCCTATCTATATATTTTTTAAGGATGGGTTTTCTGGCATATTTTGACATTAAATTTCCTCTACAATTCTCTGCATCAAGCCCAAATTCATAAATATTAGCTTATCACTGTCTGCCATTTTTTCCATACTATTTGATATACAAAATTTTCTTTCTACATTTACTGCATGCACCCATTGTGTCTAACATTGAATCTGAAGAATATCTTTCAACAGTTTCCTCCATACTGCTATTTTGTCTTCCAGTTGTAGATAATCTGTTTTTTTCTTACTGAAGACTTTACTACTTATTTTTCTATATTTTATGTTTTAACTACATTTATCTAGGTATGAGTTTGATGTTCATTCTACCCTGGACCCAGGGTAAGAGGACTTAATCTGTTTTTAGCTATTATGTGTTTAAACATTGGCCTCTCTTTCCCCATTCTCTTCTGGAAATCCCTAATAGGTTATGTTTTGTCCTTATTTTTTCAACGTTTATTTCATACCTTTTCTGTGGAGCATGGGCTTAAGGCCTTAATTACCATCTCCTGCAGATGTTAAAACTCCAGAGGGTGTTAAGAGAGGCCACATGGGAGACCTGGACTTCACCCCTACCTGGCAGTAATGAGACAGTGCCCTGTTCCCCACAGGCATAGTGTTGAGCTGTTGGCATAGATATTACTGAATAAGAAGACTATTGACATCCTGTAACTTATACTTTATATGCAACCCCTTCATGGCCCTTGTCCTAGGAAAAAATAATCAGAATATGCATTCTCTTTTGCCATGGTTACCTGGGCAAGGCTCGGTGCAGGTTTCCTCCAGAACCATGTTTTTATTACCATCTATAATGAGTTCAATGTCAGCACAGAATTCCTCATCCACCACTTTGCTGAAATCATCTGCTGACCCATCACTTACTATACAAGAAATGTTCCTTGTTCTGGTCCCTTCTCCACACTGGGCCTCCTGGAATGGAGGAAGAAATAACTCATTAGAAAAAGAGAAATACTTCATTAGAGAGCTCATCACTTAGTTATCTCTGCACCATTGACTTTGATTTATGAACATTTAGAGAAGCATTTGAAACCCTAGGTAAGAAGCCCTATAGGGCACTAGCAATAAAGCATACATTGAACAATTTATTTGTTTTCTAGCTAAAAACAGGAAAATAAATTTTAATTAAAATAAATCCATCTTCAAATGATTAAAAAAAATACAGGGCAGGGAGTTATCAAAACTAATTAAATGGTTATAAAATGGCAAGGCACATAAAAATTTTAAGAAGCTTTTCATCTGTGAGCTCTGAAAAATATTTCTAACACATTATTTTTGTCTGTTTTTCTGCAGATAAAGTCTCTGCTGATAAAGAATACACAATTCCTTACAACTTCTTGAGATTTGATACCTGCACTTGGCATGGAGACCACTGGCCATATTGCCACTGATAACAAGGCTTCACTGGGCAGGGTTTGGACTGGTCCATCAGGGAAGGGCATGGTCTTCCATCACCTTGAAAGGGCTGTGTCACTGTTCGTCTTCGGATCATTTTTCCTTTAAGAGATACAAAGTGATGCAACTTTAATATATGTTATGGTTTTGCAAGCATATATATCATTGGGAGAAGGCATCACAGTGGTATCTCCTGAGGCGATCCAGGAAAAGCAAGGCTTAGATGTTTTTGAAAGAAAGACAACCAATCCAACCTTTCTGAAGATTATCTGATATGGGTTAAAGCAAGAGGGATTTTTTATTTCATATTCCTTGACCGTTAGCCTAATATGAGTTATAGTACAAACCAACCTGTGAGGCCACATGTTTGAGAGCATTCTGACCAAGGAGACCAATCAGAAAGCTGACAGTTCACAGGGCATTCCACCATGCAGGACGTGTTCATCTGCCAGTTCTTCTCCAGGCCAAGCTGGAAGAACAGAGGTAGATCAGGATGTTATATTGTCAACTGGGGGAGGGAGCCAGAGAATGAGGTGACAAGAGAGAAGAGAGGGAGGGAGAAAAAGCAAGCCACATAACAGAATAACATAGTACCTGGAGGACAAACATCCAAACTATTAAAAGTATAAAGTGGTTTGACCTAGGTGAGTGGAAGTTAGGGGTACAGGATGAAAGAAGGGGCCCATGTAATCTATACTTACATATTGTTTGAGTGTTTTCAATAGGCGATGAAAAAAAGTAGATTTAACCTCCAAATTGATTGAATTTCCCAAAATGGGGAACAAATAAATATAAGCAAAAATACTTTTCATTAGGTAAAAACTAATAATATCATCAATATTTTGATCTACAACTGTATCTTAGGGATATTATTTATTTTTACATATCTTAAACTAAAAAGCAAAAGGAAAAGTTTCTAAACATAAACTGATAGTCAAAACTAATGATATCATGTATTGAAATAATATATTAGCTATCTTTAAAAAAAAGAAATATGGGTCGCCAAAGTTTTTTGTGATTATGAATATTTTATGTGCATTTTTTAAAACAAAGATTTTTCACTTCTAAAACTCAACTGTGGTATAATTCAGTTACTTTGGTGTCAAACCTTCTCATCAGATAATAATGTGCCATTTTATTGGCATTTGGGTTCCATTACTTATTTAAATATTCTGCCTTAAAAATATAAGATGATGTTTCAAATTCTTCTACTGTATATTCCAACATTTAAAATGTCTATGGTACAAAGTAGCATTGAAATAGGAAAATGTCAGCTGGATGCGGTGGCTCACACCTGTCATCCCAGCACTTTGGGAGACTGAGGTGGGTGGATCACCTCAGAGCATGCTGGCCAACATGGTGAAACTTCACCTCTACCAAAAAAAAATATATATATATAAAAATTTGCTGGGATTGGTGGTGCATGAATGTAGTCCCAGCTACTCGGGAGGCTGAGGCAGGAGACTTGCTTGAACCTAGGATGTGGAGGCTACAGTGAGCTGAGATAGTGCCACTGCACTCCAGGCTGGGCAACAGAGCAAGACTCTCTCCAAAAAAAAAAAAAAAAAAAAAAAAAAAAAAAAAAAGACAAAGACATAGGAAAATGTAAGAGCTTGTTAGGAGAATATAAATTTTTAAGACTAGTAATTCTTAGAATTTCCAAGATCTTTTTTATTTCTGCATGAAAGAGAAGTTAATGTTTTCTAATTTATACAGCAAATAATGGCAAAATTTGTTTTGAAACATTATGTTGTGTTTCAAGTATAGCTCTTAGATCTAAGTTTTCCACTGAGAGAGGATCAGATCATAGCTTTGTGTAATACATCTCTCTGCAGGCGCTCCCATTATATTCTACACCAGTAATACCTGACAGAGCTGAGTGGTATGAAAACTTTTACCACATCACTCAACTGAAGCCTCATAAAGCCTCTTAAAAGTCATGGGAAGTTGAAGATAGGAATCTTGAGGTGATATGATAAAAATAATGTGTTACATTTAAGGTAAATAATAGTTTCATGGGGAAAGTTTGAATCACAGGATTCAATTATTATTGACTTACATATCCACCACTTACACATTTTAGTCCTGTACTAATTTTTTCCTTACATTGATCATATCTCTTTTTTAATTCTCTCTCTCATTTACCTAAACATCTGTCTAAATAAATTAAAAAGAAACCTATTCAAAAATCTAATAGGAAAGAAGAAACTGATTACTAGGTATCCAATGAGAAAATGTCTGAAAAACACTAAAGATAAAAATACTACATAAGTGCTCGTTAGGTTTAACTCTAATCTTCGTCTTTGTTGGATAATAATGCCATCTTTCTTTGTGGCTGTTAGGGAAGCAGCAAGTGTTACCTACTGCTGTGGCACTGAATGCAGGGTTGCACAGTCAAATTGTAAGTCCTTGAAGACAGTGTTTGCTAGAATGTTAAAACTAGGAGTCCCTAATTGCCATGCAACATTCAAATATTATAATATTTGCATGTAAGCTTAAACTTATCTAGACTCCCAAATAATTAAAATTAGTTATTTCTCAGGTTTTTACTCATATTTGATGTAAGAAATCAAGAATCCAGTTTACAGCTTTGTCCTTTAATCATATGAAATAGTTTAAAATTGGTCATGTATGCTTAGGTTTCAGCTTTTGCAAAGCTCTCATTTATTTTTTATTTCATTCTGACCAAGGAGTGCATTTATGTTTGCAAACAAAAAGATGTATTAATCAACTAGAAGTAGATCACAGAAAGCTCTCCCGTCAGTATATGACTATTATCTTCATTAATACTGACGCTCTTGCTCTTTTTTTTTTTTTTTTTGGAGATGGAGTTTTGCTCTTGTTGCCCAGGCTGGTGTGCAATGATGTGATCTTGGCTCACGGCACCCTCTCCCTTCTGGGTTCAAGCGATTCTCCTGCCTTAGCCTACCGAGTAGCTGAGATTACAGGCATGTGCCACCACGCCCAGCTAATTTTGTATATTCAGTAGAGACGGGGTTTCTCCATGTTGGTCAGGCTGGTCTTGAACTCCTGACCTCAGGTGATCCGCCTGACTCAGCCTCCCAAAGTGCTGGGATTAGAGGCGTGAGCCACCCCACCCAGCTCAATACTGACATTATTCTTATAATGGTTATATTGCTTCAATGTTATTGGTTACAAAACTAAAATGATTCAAGTGTGAAATTTCCAATTATTCAAATTTAAATAATGAATACAGTAAGTTATGTTAGAAGGTTATAGCAGGAGGCATTTATTAACAAAACAAATTTGTGTTTTCACCACATGTGGGTGCTCTGCTTTCATGAACAGAGACATAAGAAGGTTAAATCAGGTCTGTATGATAAATATATCAAATGAATTAAAGCATTTCTGTTTAGAGTTCTCCCCTAGGTATTGGAACAATTTACTGTGGGCTATAATAACCGCAGGATGTGTAGACAGAAGACATAGTGACTGTGTATGTTAAACTCTAATGAGGTTATGACCCCCTTTCTAGTCTATTCCAGATCTATTGAGGCTCCTGCTTATCTTGGTTAGTATTTGACCCAGTGGACCTCAGATGAATGGAGAGTCAACATTTGTCATGTTTTGGGTATGGAAATTAGATAAAATTATTACAACATAAAGTGTAGCTTCATAAAAATGAAGAAAGGCCAATGACTATGTTTTCTCACATTTCAGAAGCTCACATCTAGATATGATGACATTACTTTCATCAATTAGATGATTATCAGTTACAATTCTCTGTGCCTAGAAGATAGTAATGGCTGGCTTCATTCCTTTGTTTGAATTTGAGGTTGTCTCTTAATCAGACCTGAGTACTTAGATGGTCACAGCTGGGTATTAGATCCTAATATCAAAATCTGCTATGAAACCACATGTGATCAGTGTTTAGCAACAAAGAGAATAAATGATGGACCTTGGCAGGTGTCCCAGGCACTACACAAAATTCACATCAAATTACAAAAGATAAGTAGTCTGATTAAAATTTACTGCTTTTATTCACCTTACTTATTGTTCCCCAAGCATTTCTTTCAGAATAGGCTAATTAGCATACCTTTGGGCTCCAAGGAGAAGAAAATACAGGAAATTATATGTAGGAATCAGTAGTATTGGACATTGTATCTTTTCAAGAACATACTTAGCCTGTGAATAGTGCAGAAAAACATCTGCTGGCAATGAGCTGCATGGAGCACGGGTCACTTGGCTCAGCATGAACTGAAATTATTAGGGAAGAATTTACTCGCGAAGATATAACACAGCATCCATCTACCTCTTCACAATATTTCAGGTCAACTGACTTGCCATCACTTCGAACACAATCCAACATCCTTGTTTTTATTCCATTTCCACAAACTGCCTTCTCACTCAGCTGACATGTACTCCAGTCTGAAAAAAAGGGAAGCCTATCAGAACAGAAGGCTAAGTATGAAACAGATTTCAAATGAAACTCTGATGACCTGAATCCCATATTTAATTCACAACTGCTTCCTAAGCCCCATAATCAATCATCCCCCATGCAGAGCATATGGGTCCCAGCTTTGAACATATCAGGAGTCAAATGGAATTGCTGGGGTTGCACATAGCTACAGGGATTATTCTTAAAGGCAGATGTCTACTTGAAAATCTTGATAGCTAGCCGTTTGGTGACACTGTAAAAATGGCTTTGGCCTACAGATCAATGTCACTTAAAAACTTTTTTTCCCAATAAAAATATAATTTAAAATCTTAGCATTACTTTTAGCAAAATAATCATAATTGTGACAGATGGTACTTTAACTGTGTAGTTATGTTCAAATAAAACGTATTTTACTTCTTATCCATATTTAGAATGCATGAAAATGCATACATTTATTAAAGTGATAAAATCACTTCGGCCATATTTATTTAATTCTCTTATTTTATGTCTTTTGCAAAATAGCTCTTTCATCTCTTTTCCCTGGGTAACATAGCATGTCCCAGATAACTTTGATTTTTTTTTGTATCATCAAAGGAAACTAAAGAGAAAAACCATAAGAAACAGAAAGCCAATCTGACCTGTTATGTGTCACTGTACAGTTTCTTGAGTTTGTTTCAGAGTGAAAATTACTTGGAAAAAATTCCAAAGTAAGCTTTGGTGTTGTCCCAATTCATATAAACAAATAAAAGATTTTCTTTCCTAGCATATGCACCTTGATGGTATTAAATGAGTTTTAGGGGAAAATGCAATTTATAATAAATCTGTTTTTCTGAAAATACTCATCTATTTTTACCTGCACCTTTTACAGCATTGATTTATAATCTTTGGCAAGTTTGAGACTGCTGACTAATCATGTTTATAAACTGCCCACACCTCACAAATTGTTGCTCCAGTATGCTTTAGAAATTAAGCATCTTCTAAAAAAGAAAGACATTTTTGAATAAATATGACACTTGTGCCAAAAATATTTTAGATTCACCTTCCCAAAGTGAGAGGTTGTCTTATGTAGGAACACTTAGCATATTCACAACCTACTTTAAGGGCTAATGTCTGTGTGACATTATCTTGTCACACAGATCTTGTCACACAGTCTTGATTTGACTATACAAATCAAGATAGATTTCCTCTATCTTGGTGTTTACTAAAAAAAACCCAGATAAGTATTTCTGTCATTTAATATGTAATTATTTCTGGGAAAGTAAGCAGCTTGTCCAAAAGGCACACAGATAGAGATGAACTATACTGACAGGAACACTTCAGAGCTGACAGACACAAGATTTGGACTTAACTCTGTGATCAGATGACGATCCATGTACCTGTTACATTATAATCATAGTGGTAGCAGTTTTTGTTCAGGTTGCAGGGTTCTTTCTCAACAGCATTAGGGCAAGATCTTCCTTCATCAGCTGGTTGTCTGATGGGATCAGCTGACCTTTGCCGGAAACTGCTTTGATTGCAAGGCTTAAAAAGAACAGTACAAATTCTCAGAAAAGTGAATACTCAGCTACACAACTGGTATATTAGAGACAGCACTGGAGCAGGAGTTAGAACATTTGGACCACTGGCTAACTCAGAAAAGTCAGTCAACCTCATTATGCCTCAGTTGTTCAATGTATAAAATGAAGCTGTTGAATGAGATTTTGATGTACCATCTAGCTGTAAGATGCCATGTGTCCAATGCTAATACATCACCTCACACCTATACACACACACACATATGGTGGTCATGTTAATTATTATAGAAAGCTATTACATATATATACATATAAAGTTATATGTGTATTATTATATATATATGTTTGTGGATTATGTATAGTCTTTTGGGCCTTAAAAGACATTTTAAGAATAACTTTAAATGACTTGGTGTTAGTGACTTTCCTTTTCCTGATGTACATGTATATATGCATATAAACAATTCTGATTCTGAATTCTAATTTTAATCCTTAATTTAGAATTGAGAAAAAAAAAATAAAGTTCTAAGACCTGCAACTGACCAAATGGACCCCCTCTTGGCCATAGGGACCACAGAGAAACCTTGAAAACTGAGTTCTCGGCCTTTAGGCTTTCTTCCCTAAGGGTTATACAGAAACAAGCCCTTTGGAAACACTCACTCTATACCTGATCAACCAATTGTCTTGAAACTGCCTTTGCAAAAATTATAACAGTAAGAAAATTATGGCAGTAAAAGAGATCTGATCTAACCCAACCTCATCTCGCTTTTCTCTTAGTTATTCCTGGGTTTTTGGGATGAGCTAATTTCAAGAAACATTTAGTTTATAGTTTAATTAACAGGCTTTTCCCCAAACTCAAGTGACTTTGTAAAGCTAATGAAAGGCCATCAGGCTGGGAGAGGAGAGGAACCTGAATTCTGCTAAGGTGTAGACATAAATGATTGCTAGCTACTCCTGCAGATGTTACCACTACAGTAGATTGGCTTTTTGAGATATCTTTTCTGTTTTTTTTTTGCATGTCTAACACCCAGGGCTCTACCTGAATCGCCAACCTAGTTCCTGTGGCCCCACCCAGAAGAATTCAGCCCGCAGGAGGACAGTTTGACTCCCTGTGATTTCATCTCTGCCCCAACCAATCAGCAGCAAGCACCCATTACCTGGCAGCCCCACCCCTTTCCCCCAAACTGCCTTTGAAAAACCCCTACCTAGGAGCCTTAGATGAGATTGATTTGAGTACTAACTCCATCTTCCATGTGGCATGGCTGGCCTTATGTCTATTAAACTCTTTCTTTACTGCAGTACCCTGGTCTTTATTCACGCAGCAGGCAGGAAGAACCCCTTGGGTGGTTAGAGCCTGACACTGCCTCTTCCTTTTATGGTTGCAACAAAACAGCCAACCAGCATTTCTTCCTAAAAAGAAACCACTGATCAAGGAGTGGTTCTGGGCAGTCCATGGAGGATGTACAGTAAGGGTTTCTGTGACCTCTGTTTCACCTTTTGACATTAGAGCACTGAAAACCCCACCCTTGGATCATGCTAATGCCACCATTTTTGGTACATGGGACACATGAGGGGGCATAAAGCTCAACTGCACATGCGTACTTTTCTCTTTTTATAAATATTCATGACTCCTCATATAGCTTAGTAAATATGTATATTTGGCCACCCTGCTCAACACAAATTACTGTTCCCTTTGCCATTCCCTAGAAGTGTCTATTTCTGGCTTCTGGCTGGCAGCTATGATTCCCAGCCTGTCAGGATGGCCACCCTGCAGGCTGCAACCCTTTATGAGATATAAAGCTCTCCTTTCCAAATTTATGAACCTTGTCATTCTTCAGTTGACAACATCTAAAAAGATTGGCTTGCCATTCATCTACTGGTACAGTCTTCTGAAAACAGTTGGTTTCTAAGAATGGTAAGAAACCAGGAACAAGCCTCCATGGACTTTTTAAGTCCTAAAATAATTGCTTCCTCCTCCCCTGCTTCCATTGAACTTTGGTCACACCACTGGAATAACACTATCTGTCTTGACATAATGTGTATTATATAAAGGTCTTGTTCCTTTCTACAGTGCACTAGGAGAAGACTTATGTTTTAGAGAGCAGTATATTTTCCCTACCTAACACAGTTACTGATAGACAGTAAAAGCTGAATTGGTATCTGTTTAATGAAGGCCTGAGGGAAGAAACAAGGTGAGTTAAAGGTAAAATATGTCAAATGAAATTTAGCTTGAATGTAAGCTGTCCACTTACATTCAAGTTCATCCTAAAGGTTTCTTCGCACATAGTGAACTGTACCCTATTTGGATGTGTAAACAGACCGTAACCTACTCTTGTGCAATCACTGAGTTTCAAATGTGGCCGATTGTTCAAATTGTGTTCAAATATGACAAATGCAAAGGAAGGTTTTTAAAATATCTCAGGATCTCATACACCCTATGCAAAAGGGAAGGGTAAGCCTGGAGGCCGTCTTGCAACATTCTCTTCCACTTGAATAGCTATTGCTAGCATTGTGCCAGATTCCCACGGAAAGGTAAACGGCCTCAGGCATCATGAATGACTGATCCCATAGATGATTCACAGGTAAATTCCTTCATGGCCTCCCACAAACAAGGACATACCAATTGTAACTTTAGGTCTACAGTCTAAGTCTAACTCCTAAAACTCAAGTCTGATTCCACACTGATACTATCAATCACAAGTGTATTTTCCCAGGTTCAGAACAAAAACAAGAGGAGATCAGTCATTCTTCCATCTACCCAGAGATGTCTGCATAATTGATTCTTCCTCTGTTACCCTTTTCTCTTCAAACATTCACCTTACCTTATATAAAATGTAGATTATGGGGCACTAACTAGTCTCACAGGAATATAACTATTTGCCTTAATGCCTACCTGCCTCTCTTCCTACGTGCCTCCCCCCATTTAAGGGAATGTGTAAACATAAAACATCTTAAACACCTCTTCAGAAAACCTCCTTGCTTTTTCCCAGATGTGTCCTAAAGCTGGCTTATTAAACTTCGATTGATTGGGACTTGTGCCTTAGTTACTCATTCTGTTTATCACAAACGTCAAAGTGTAATCAATCTAGCTGTTGCTGAACCTCGCTTCTGTACATCATTTTCTGTATGTCACTTATCTGCTTCTGCCCAATAATCTTTTCCAACCACGTGTCAGTGCTGGAGCCTCTCTGAACCTGTTCTGGTTTGGGAGGCTGCCCAATTCTTGAATGGTTCTTTGCTCAATTAAACTGTTAAATTTAATTTTTCTAACGTTTTTCTTTAAAGAAATAAAAAGCCCAGGAATCACAGTTTTATTCACCTCATTGAATTTTATTCTTATCCAAACATTCCTATTGGCAAACTCTCAGGAACACAAAATATGCTTCACAAACTCTCTTTTATAAATAATAGAACCTCAATAATTCTTCTAAGATGGCTATCCTTGATCATTTAATATAGAAACCTACTGGACAAAGTTCCAGTTTAGTGGTTCCTTTTATTAAAATCCCTATTAATAAGTTTAAGAAGGGGCCTGGGTTCAATATTTCCTATTATAAAAATGGAAAATTTTTGTAATATAATATCTGACAAAAAAATCTCACTATTATAGACAGTGTAGCATGTAGCCCAATTATTTGATGTAACTTCAAATCTGATGCTATGAAATTAGGATAGAAAATCAATTGTATATCCTTGTGAAACAGTTGATTACTACAGTTTAACTTGCATTCCAGTCAACTGCCATCTTTGTTTTATTCCTGCTATATCAGTTGTCTGCTAATCAGTATCTTTAACACTGAAATGGAATATCAATTTCTCCTTGGAAAATATGCACCATAAAGTCTTCTTTGAAATGGTTTTATATCGTATTTCAACAAAATAATTCCATATGTTATTTTTTCCCATGCTTTTGATGCTGTTTTTGAAATGTACAGTTTTACAAAGGTGCCCATGGGTAAGCCAAATATCCTACATAAGCAGCCAGTTCTGTTTCAAATGACTCTCTTCCCAGAGTCTCGTGGATGAGCCCCTACTGGCTGTTGAAACGCAGAAGCTTTTGTGTGATTTGAAACTCTCAGCTGGCTTTCCAGGCCCAAAGAGACACAGAGTCAGTGTGTAAAGAGAAATTCATTGGTGTACAGCTTTCTTCTTCTACTTAGTTTCTTACCCAGTATCTTTTGCTTTTTAGTGTTAATACCCCTGCTGCTGTATTCCCACTGTGTGAGAGATTATTCCTACCATTTAAATAAAAGGTATGGGCAAAAAGCAATGGATGACAATAACTTGACACCATTAAAGTACCTTTACTTCATTCATTTTCCCTTTTACCTGGAGGGAATCATTATCACCACTGCAGTTTTTAACATGCTGTGTATTTATAAGGCAAACTGAAGGCCTTTTGTGCTGGGTTAGGATGATGGGTTGAGTAAAGCTTGCAAGAGGTGGAGCTGTTCTAGTGTGAGAGGAAACATTACAAACTTTAAATAGCACAGTCATAGAATGATGTGGCCGAGAAAACACACCTTGCTTTGGTAAATATGCAAACAAACAAATTTTACATTGAAGTTATTATATTTTTTAAATAATGTCTTTAAAGCTTCAGTGGCAAATAATTAAATAAACTCTACATTAATAAAAAGGTTAATCATCTTACCAAAACACATCGGGTCCATGGACCCCATTCAGATATCACACAGTCCTCAGGGCATGGTAATTTGCACACTCTAGAGCCCAGGGGCATCTCTTCCGGGTCACAGAGGTAATCCTCTACATGTTCAGAAGGGCCATCTGCTGTATTCTGCATGCATCTAAAAAAGAACATAAACATATTCTAGAAAATATACATACCTTCTCGAAGTGAAGAAAACAAGACAATTAGAATGACCAACCCACAGGACAGATGGTTCTCCTTAAGACATCGTTATGGGGGTGGGGAGTAGGAAGCTTTGTTATCTAATGAAATTCTCCAGAAATGAAGACTTAAAAGGATCTTTGCCTCTCCTAAATATTTGTAGGGCTTCTGCATGATTCAAAAATGTGTTTTGCATTCATGAGTCTTTGAATATAAGAGCCATTGTGTGTATGTAAACTCTGCATGTTATAAAAGATTCTTCTAAAAGCAGAGGGTCATTTATACACATGTGAGGCAGAAACTAATGAGGAATTGTCCAAAGAGCTTCATAGAGGGCTTACAATTTGGCATATTATGCATTTATTCTTCTCAAGAAAATGATGGATTTCATAGAGAAAGTAGAGTTAGTTGATTTATATGTGATGAAAGACCAGGCACACTGAAATCTCTAAGTGGGAGATTTCATTGTTTGTGAAAACAACTAGAGGCATTTATCAATTCATTTTGTCATTTTAAAAGTAATTTTAGCCTCCCTTCTGCTCTGAATCTTAAACGAAAGTGAGAAGTGAAAAAACAATTATAACAGGTATAGCATAGGTTCTCTAAATATGGTTATTTGGATTTTCCTACTACTTGACTTAAAAAAATTGTTAGTTTGTGTTCCATTTTATTCTCCTGTAAGCAGTCATGAAGGGCTCCTTATTCATCTTTTGGGAATCTAATTAACATGGCTAGTATCAGACTTCACTTTTACCATAGTAAATAATCTCTCTGGGCACTTAAATATTATAGCAGGAGAGAAAACCTTTCTCTCTCATGCATAACTTGGAAAAGGTCAGCCAACTTAATGGATTCAGGAAGAGAACTGCATTTCAGGAGTTAAAAAGGAAGGCTTGAACTCTCAAGTCTCTCAAACCTAGTGTCATGTATTAAAATATCAGTTGAATTAAATTGCCAGTGATACCTGGCATCCCAACTTTTCTCAGGGATTTACAATCAGCAGGAACATTCACAAATCTACTCTACAGAGTCCTCATGCTATGCAATGTTGCTGAACTTAAGAGGAATGTCCTTTCCCTGTGGGATACATTCAAACACTGGAAAGCTGTGTTGTTGGTCATGTCTTAATGGGCCTGTAGCCTGAAAAAATATGCAAATACCTATGCATTTTTTTTTTTTGTATACTGGATACATACATAAAAAGCAATCACAAAAATATGCAAATTAGATATTGATATGATTTCATTGTTGAAAAAATAAATTATGAATATTTTTGGGAGAATTTGAGTTTCCCAGGAAAAATTTCTACCTTCAATATCATTTTAAAAATGTTCTGTTGACAGCAGCTTAGAGATGACATGTTGCAGACAGGGCATTTCAGTGCTCAAAAGTTGGATTTGCTCCTAAGAATAGATTACATTTGGGTAGGTACTGTCACTATATGCA